TGTGCCAATGGCACAGTTATCCATTTTTGGATGGATTTTTCTGGGCCAACAACTTCCAAGCAAATTTCGATGGTGACAGCATTTCATGTTTCCTGGCATGACGACGAAGAAAAACTTCAAGAACTCCTCTTGAAATTTTGGGTTCTGGAATAAGTATATTCAGGCGATACCATCAAACGTACACCAGAAGAACAACAATGTGAGGAATATTTCAAGAATACCAATTCACGCGATTTAAAGGGTAGATACATAGTGCGAATTCCGCTTACATCTCCCATTGAAAAACGTGTGTCCACATACAATACTGAACGCTGTTTCTTACAGAGTCTACTTAAAAAATTCGTAAAATCAGAATAATATCAGTTACAATATCACCAGTTCATGATAGAATATGAAAACCTTGGCCACATGAGACGAGCTCCTACACTTCCAGCCATCACACACAATATTATCTGCCCCATCACGGTGTGCTCAAACCAGATATGACCACCACCAAATTAAGAGTAGTATTCAATGGTCCCTGCAAGTCGACATCAAGATTTTCCCTCAATGATATTATGCATACTGGACCTAACCTAAATCCAGACATTTCAGATGTCTTAATTTGGATCAGAAGACAACGTTACTTGTTTGTCACCGACATTACAAAGATGTACAGACAAATAAGAGTACACGAAGATGACCGGTACCTACAGAGAATTCTGTGAATTAACGAAAACAATGTCAAACTACTACTGTTAAAACTCATGGCACACATGAAGACCACACTAGGTATGAAGGTAAGGGCTACGCATTTGTGGACTGACTTTCGTGTAACGTTAACGTGGATTGAATCTCACTCGTCACGATGGAAGGAATTCGTCTGCAACAGAACCACCTAGATTCAAGAACTTACCTCAGAAGCATAATGGAGATATGTGCCAGGAACATCAAACCAAGCAGACTGCGCCTCCAGAGGACTAACAACTCAGCAACTTAAGGACCACCCTTTGTGGTTGGCCGGACCACTATGGGTAACCACACCAGATTCATGGCTTACACAACCCTTAGAGGGAGATAAGCAATGTATTCAGGAAGCTCACCCAAGCATCTGATTAGTCGCAACAATTGACAGGCCCGACTATGATTGGAAGATTATTTACAAAAATCCATCACTCAGTAAACTATTGAGAATAACAGCAACATGCATCAGATTAATTACATGCCTGAAGGGGGAACAGACCGCAAAGAGTCAGCTGACAACCGTGGAGATGGAGCAAGCAAGAATTTAGTGGATAATACTGACACAAAACACATACTTCACCCATGAAGTAAGATTACTTAAATCCCAAGCCAAATCCCCCCCCCCCCCCCCCCTCACATTCGTTCCATCGACTCACCGCCTACATAGATGCACAAGGTATCATCAGAGTTGATGGAAGACTGGAAGAATGAATGCTTCACTGACACAGGACAATAAACATCCAGCCATTCTCCTAAAATTCTCACAACTCACCAACCTCATCATTGAGCAAGCACACTTCAAAACATTCCACGGGGGTACCCAAATCACGCTAGCGAACACGCGTCAACTGTACTGAATAATGAGAGGACGACCAGCGATAAAAAAAAACACATACTAAGATGCGTCACCTGTGCTAAGCAAAGAGGAACTCTGGCCCGCCAGTTGATGGGTCAACTACCCCTCGCGCGAGTAATACCCTCACGACCATTTACCCACACTGGTGTTGATTATGCTGGCCCATTGACAATAAAAACCTGGAAGGGGCGAGGAGCCAAAACTTACAAGGCTTGGATCTGTGCATTTGTGTGCCTAACCACATCCGCAGTATACATCGAAGTGGTGAGTGACTAGTCTTTGGAGGGATTCATCGCAGCAAACAGAAGATTCTCTAGTCGCAGAGGCATCCCAAGCGTATTACACTCTGACTGTGGGACAACATTCATCGGAGCAGATAAAAACATAAAGAGAGATAAACATCTCAAGGCCATCCATGGAGGCACTCGGCTCATACTCAACTACATACGCCAAAATTATTGGATTATAGGAGGAAGAGAACCAATGAAGTCATACATATTGCGGTGTGCTATTTGCGCCCGCCAAAGGGGAATCCACGCTAACCAATTGATGGGACAACTTCCACGGTCCCGAGTCACGCCATCAAGGTCATTCACCCACACAGGAGTGGATTATGCTAGACCACTCAGGAAGGGACGAGGCGCAAAGACCCAAAAGGCATGGATATGTGTTTTCGTGTGCTTTGCCACGTCCGCAGTACATATCGAGATCGTTAGTGACTATACGACATACGGGTTTATTGCGGCAT